AACCTCTGCCTCCCAGGTTCAAGCAATTCTCCTGCCTCAGCCTCCCAAGTACCTAGGATTATAAGCGCACACCACCATGCCCAGGTAATTTTTGTATTTTTAGTAGAGGCGGGGTTTCACCCTGTTGGCCTGGCTGGTCTCAAACTCCTGATCTCGTGATCCACCCACCTCAGCCTCCCAAAGTGCTGGGATTACAGGCCTGAACCACTGTGCCCAGTCTGGATAATTTTTTCCTAAAGTATCTATGTTTGCCTGTACTGATACTCATTGGGTCCTTCTGTGCTTACTCATGGCATCTTCCCAACAGACAATATCTGAGTGACAGAACATTCTTGCATGTTTTGTTTTTTACAGAAATATTTTTAGTTGCTATTAAAGGCTGACATTCATTGTTGGAAACCGTTCTTTTCTGCCTCTTTGGATGCATCTGAGTTTGAGGTTTTACTTTCCTTCCACCCCATTAGGTTGTACGTTTGTTTTGTTCTGTAGAGTTTAGTTAGCAGCTTAAGGCTTAAAGTGGTTGTTTTTGTTTTTGTGTTTTGCAAGCGAGACTCTCATCTCAAAAAAAAAAAACTAAAAAAACTGTTTTCAAGTTTGGAGCCTGGAGCCTGGGAGGGAACACCCACCCGTTTGTTCTAATTTCCTTCAGCATAGTGTATTTGAAGCCAAAAGCCTGCTTGTGTGCCTCTCAATTCATTTGCTCCTAATTCATTTGCTACTTGCATAGAAATTTTTTATATGTAATCTCATTCTTCAGATGAGAGCATTGTACTTGAGAACATTGTTGCTACGCCCTCTAAAATTCGATATTTTTTTAAGTAAGAGAATTTTTATTGATAACCTCAAATACTTTCTCCTACACCTTCATGCTTACTCTTTGTATAGGCTTTTCTTGCTGGAGAATCCTACATGCAGTATTGATGTCTCAGTTCTTTGTTCTGCTTCTTCAGTGCTACCTTGCCCTGGCCAAAGGAGGCTTATCTGATGACCATGTCCTCATCCTGCCCATTGGACACTACCAGTCAGTGGTGGAGCTTTCAGCAGAGGTGGTAGAAGAGGTGGAGAAGTATAAGGCCACACTGAGACGGTTCTTTAAGAGTCGAGGGAAACGGTGTGTTGTATTTGAGAGAAATTATAAGAGCCATCACCTCCAGCTACAGGTAGGTGGTCTGTCCATAGGAACTTCGAAGGGTACTATGGGGACCTTGAAATTGATAAATATTTAAATAATGTTCATTTAAAAAGTTAAAGAATATCTGGTGATAACCCCAGAGGTTTCACAGGGAAGTTTGTGGTCAGTACAAGTAAACAGCAGAGATAGTAAGTTCCTTGTTTGGAGAAGAAATGGGTAGTTGAGGAAGTTCCAAGGAAGATGTGGGGTTTGCTGGATAAGAATTTGGAAGAAAGTGAGTATTTTGTGTGGAGGCCTAGCATGAGTGAAATCTTAGTAGCAGGAAATAGTCTCAAAGCCTGCATGGGGCTAGCAGCTCAGAAAATCAGATTGTTTATAGATTATTTGTAGTTGTGGTGGTTTTCCTTTTGGCACATTTGTTAAGTTTTCAAATGGGCCTAACTCTGCCACATATATTATATTGGAGATGGAAAAGGCTTGTGGCAGAGATATCTCTCTTAAGCCTTTCCTGTATCACAGAATGGCTCCCACATGTGGCAGGCTATCTCATAAGTTTAAGTCCTTACAGACAGGCTGACACAGGCTTGTCTGGCTTGAGGAGATTCTGTGCTGAGGGGTGTTTCTCCACTCCTATGATGGATTTGCTGCTTCTCAGAGACTGTACAGGGACAACTTCTCTGGGACCTGCACAAAGAATTTCTCCTGTCCCCCTAACCCCCAGGTCATTCCTGTCCCAGTCAGTTGCTGTGCTACTGATGATATTAAAGATGCCTTCATTACCCAGGCACAGGAGCAGCAGATAGAGCTGTTGGAAATCCCAGAGCACTCTGACATCAAGCAGGTGAAACAGAGGGGATGGTGATATTCAGGGAAGAGTAAGATCTGGTTTTTGACATGTTGAGCCTAAGGTGCTATCAAGGCATTCCAAAAATCTTATTAAATAGGCAGTGGGTTTGGGCATGGTGGCTCACACCTGTAATCCAACACTTTGAGAGTCTGAGGTGGTAGGAGCACTTGAAGCTATTAGTTTGATACTGGCCTGGAAAATAAAGTGAGATACCCCATCTCTACAAAAAATAAAAAAAAAAAAAAACAAGCTAGGCATGGTGCCACATGCCTGTAGTCTTAGCTACTTGGGAGGGTGAGAGGCCGGAGGATCACTTGAGCTTAGGAGTTCGAGGATATACTGAGGTATGATTGCACCACTGTACTTTAGCCTGGGGAACATAGCAAGACCTTGTCTCTTAAAAAAACAAAAACAAAAACAAACGAAAACAAGAGGCAGTAGACAATTTGGAACTAGAGCACTGGGTATTGATTAGATTGGAGATGAAGAGGGCATTACTGCAACATTTAGTGCTTTCCTGGGAAGAGCAAGAAATTAGAATTTCCTAAGGTGGAAACTTAGAAGGATGGATGCCACTGGGAGGATATTTGTAGTATCTTCCAGTTCGTTTTTTAAGTCCTAGTTCCACTAAGTGGCTTGGGATCTATAGCTACATACACATCCTTTTTCTTGTGCATTTAGACTGAATTCTTTGCCTAAAGATGAACTAGGATTATAGATTTCTAAAGCATTATTGAACATCCTCATACACCTCTGTTTACTTTAGATTGCACAGCCAGGAGCAGCATATTTTTATGTCGAACTTGACACGGGAGAAAAACTTTTTCACAGAATTAAAAAGAGTTTTCCTTTGCAGTTTGGAAGGTATGTTTTTCTTCTTTTCAATATATTTTTACATGACCTGCTATGAACAAAGCAGTGGGCTACATGGACAATGGATAAAAAGCTAAATTGTAAACAGTCTTTGCCCCCAAGGACCCATGGTCTTAGGGTAAGTCAGATATTTACATATATGACAGTAATGTCATGGAGAATGAGAATACCATGACAGAGTTTTGGAGATCAATGTGCTGTAGAAATTCAGAAAAGGGAGAGCTCATTTCTACTTGGTGAAAGCCTTCATGAAAGTTATGAAGTTGAACTGTAGGGATACATTTAGAGGGCAAAGGTTAGGGTGAGGAAATTCCAGCCAGAAGTGCTAGAGAACTTTAATTGAGCACATACTCTGTGCCAAGAACTTTACAAATACATGCCTCATTTAATCTTCACAACTCTGTAAGGTAGGTACTGTCATCCAAATTTACCAGTGTGGAAAATGAGGCTCTAGAGCAGTGCCCCATAGACTTTTCACAATGATGGAAATGCTCAATTATCTGCATTGTCCAATACAGTAGTGACTAGCCATATGTGGCCACTGAGCACTGAAATGTGGCTAATGTGACTGAGAAACTAAATTATTTTATTTTAATTTATTAGAATTTAAATTTAAATAGCCATTCCTGGCTAATGGTTACTCCATTAGACAGCAGGCTGTAGAGAGGTTAGATAGCTTGTTCATGGTCACACCCAGGTCTGTTGGAACTGAAGCCTCCTCCAGCCCTTTAGAATACTGAGGCTAAGGCCTTGACTCAGGCCCACGTAGGCACAGCAGCACAAGCCCAATTTCAACAAAACAACTTATTTTGGCTCTTAGGACTGAAGAATAACTACACACAGATACACAACAAACTGCCTTCTAATTGCCATTGCTTTATATTTTTACTTATTTCGATATATTAGAATTGTATTACACATTTATATGGTTCATTTTCCACTTTGAAGATAAAGTAAATAGAGGAGTTAGAAACAAATCATGTGAGTTCTTCAAAAGCCAAAGAAGCTAAGCTCCCTGTGCAAACTTTGAGCCTACTATTTCAAATGTAAAATGAAAGTAGAACTATCTTTCTTGTATAGCTGGAAAAAAAATGCCATTTAAAATATTTTGTTAACTATAAAATGCTATATAACTATCAATTAGTATCTTGATAATTACTCTATTGAAAATACAACTATCATAATCACAAAACCGTTCAGAGAATCTCCTTTTTGTGTGCTTTATATGCCTATGTGTATCTGCAATCGTGTGCTTATTTTGTCAGTGTTCAAAACCACATCTGTTGCTGAGGCAACACCCAGGCCTCTTAAAAGTCGAGGTCTTAACCTCAGTATTCTACAGTATTCTAAAGGCCTGGAGGAGGCTTCAGTTCTATTCCTCATATCAAGCAAAACATGACTGCAAAACTACACCGGGGGTAATGTAGCTTAGGCAAAGATTAAAGATAAGAGGATGCTGACAAGAAGAGAGTTTGAAGGGGAGTGGAAAATGTGTAGAACAGAGTATCTGATGCTGGTGTCTGTGATTTGCACTATTTTTTCTCCCCTAGTTAAAAATGGGCTTTGATGAGTCTTGAACCTGTCTTAGACTAATTTGGAAAGCCTCCAAGAGATTGACTGTAAATGTAGTCTACATTTTTCAAAAAGATGATTTTTTGTTATTTTTGTTTTTGTTTTTGTTTTGAGATGGGATCTTGCTCTGTTGCCCAGGCTGGAGTGCAGTGGTGCGATCTTGGCTCACTGCAACCTCCACCTACTGGGTACAAGCAATTCTCCTGCCTCAGCCTCCCAAGCAGCTGGGGCTACAGGTGTACACCACCATGCCCAGCTAAAAAAAGATAATTGTTAAATGGGAACAAGTGTGTTACGAGATTCAGACATCTGACATGATTTTTTCATTGTTGCCTCAGCAACAGATGCGGTTTTGAACACTGACAAAAATAAGCACACGATTTTAGATACACATAGGCATATAAAGCACACAAAAAGGAGATTCTCTGAATGGTTTTGTGATTATGATAGTTGTATTTTCAATATTGAGTAATTATCAAGATACTAATTGATAGTTATATAGCATTTTATAGTTAACAAAATATTTTAAATGGCATTTTTTTTCCAGCTGTACAAGAAAGATAGTTCTATTTTCATTTTACATTTGAAATAGTAGGCTCGGTCCATTTTTCCATCAGTCTGGAAGGATGTTGGTGTTGAGGTTGGCGTATGTATCAAGGACAGTAATTACTATGGCTTCTGAAGTTTTGGCAAAACCTCAGACGCGTGGTCTTCTGGCCAGGCGTCTGCGAATTCATATGGTTGGAGCATTCCTGATATCCCTGGGGGTTGCAGCTCTCTATAAGTTTGGTGTGGCTGAACCAAGAAAGAAGGCATATGCAGATTTCTACAAAAATTACAGTCCCGAGAAAGATTTTGAGGAGATGAAGAAGGCTGGTATCTTTCGTAGTATAAAGTGATCTTGGAATAGAAAGAATTTCTTCAGGTTGAATTACCTAGAAGTTTGTCAATGACTCGGGCTCCTGAACTATGACACATGAATATGTGGGCTAAGAAATAGTTTCTCTTGATAAATAAACAATTAACAAAAAAAAACAAAACAAAACAAAAAAAAGAAATAGTAGGCTCAAAGTTTGCACAGGGAGCTTAGCTTCTTTGACTTTTGAAGAACTCACATGATTTGTTTCTAACGCCTCTATTTACTGTATCTTCAAAGTGGAAAATGAACCGTATAAATATGTAATACAATTCTAATATATCAAAATAATTAAAAATATAAAGCAACGGCAACTAGAAGGCAGTTTGTTGTGTATCCGTGTGTAGTTATTCTTTAGTCCTAAGAGCCAAGATAAGCTGTTTTGTTGACATTGGGCTGTGCTGCTGTGCCTATGTGGGCCTGAGTCCCCTAGAAGGAGAAGTAGAGGAATTTTAAATCGGAGTGGGTATGACTAGGCACCTGACTCTGCGAACTCATGTCTAATTGAGGTGACAAAACTACAGTTTAAGGCAGGATGTAATCACAGTTAATATGGCTCTTTGGTTGTGTTATCTCCCTACTTGAAAAACCCTGTATGGTGGGTGTTCTTATTTGCATTTCATAGGTGAGGAAATCAAGACTCAGAGATGAAGTCATCTATCTAAGTCATAGATAGCAAGTGGCAAAGCTGGAAATGAAATCCAGTCTCTGATCTTTCTCTAACCAGGGCCTGCCCTTTTTCTACTATGTGGTAATGCTTCTCTAAGTACCAATAATATAGTTCCAAGTTTTTCAGGAGAGGGAGAAGTAAGTGGGGTTTGAAGGATTAGGAAATACATAGTACCTGAGCTGGCCATTTAAAATGGGTATGATTTTGATCAATAGTATGGCAGAGATGGCACTCAGGGCAGGAGGGCAAAGTCAGATAAATTTGCTTACCTTCTTTGGGTGATGTTGAGGAAAGCTCAGGCCGAGAGTTTCCATTTTGACTTCTTTGTGCTCTTTCTGCAGGGAGGTCCTGGCCAGCGAAGCCATCCTTAATATTCCTGATAAGTCTGACTGGAGGCAGTGTCAGATCAGCAAAGAAGACGAGGAGACCCTAGCACGCCGCTTCCGGAAAGATTTTGAGCCCTTTGACTTTACTCTGGATGACTAAGCAAAGGGAAGAACTTTTCATGAACTTCATAGGAAGTAGTAAAAGCCTTTTTTTTTTTTTAAATTAAAAAAATTTATTTCGAGACAAGGTCTTACTCTGCTGCCCAGGCAGGATTGCAGTGGCGTGATTGTGGCTCACTGTAGCCTCCTAGGCTCTAGAGTTCCTCCCACCTCAGCCTCTGCATAGCTGGGACCACAGGTGTATGCAACCAACACCTGGCAAACTTTTTAAAATTTTTTGTAGAGATGGAGTTCTCCCTCTGTTGCCCAGGCTGGTCTCTAACTCCTAGGCTCAAGACATCCTCCATCTTGGCTTCTTAACTTGCTGGGATTAAAAGCATGAGCCACCATTCCTGTCCTAGAAGCCTATTTTTAAAGAAGCTACAGTCTCCCATGGGGGGACTGTTTCCCTGCCTCTTCTGTGCAGTCCCATGGAACTGCCTGCAGCAAGAGACCTAAGATTGAATTTTTGGGGGGGAAAAGTCATTCTGGCATGAAAATCCTATGTTAAAAGCATATCACCAGGTGCAGTGGCTCACACCCATAATCCCAGTACTTTGGGAGGCTGAGGTGGATGGATCACCTGAGGTCGGGAGTTAGAGACCAGCCTCGCCAACATGGTGAAACCCCATCTCTACTAAAACTACAAAAATTAGTTGGGTGTGGTGGCAGACGGTTGTTTTGTTTTGTTTTTTGGTTTTTTTTTTTTTTTGAGACAGAGTCTCGTTCTGTCGCCAGGTGCCAGGCTGGAGTGCAGTGGCACGATCTCTGCTCACTGCAACCTCCGCCTCCCGGGTTCAAGCAATTCTCCTGCCTCAGCCTCCCGAGTAGCTGGGACTACAGACACACAGGTGGCAGGTGGTTGTAATCCCAGCTACTCAGGAGGCTGAGGCAGGAGAATCACTTGAACCGGGGAGGCAGAGGTTGCAGTGAGCTGAGATCACACCATTGCACTCCAGCCTGAGTGACAGAGTGAAATTCTGTCTCAAAAATAAAATACAATAAAAGAATAAAATAATGTCTGTTATCCAGTTCCAAGTACAGCTTGTATCTATCAACATTTTCAAAAACCTTTAAACGATCAAATAAATCCAGATGTTTTCCCATAGTTGAGAAGTGTCTTGTGTTCATGTTGCCTATGACCATTGAAATGAGGTAGTATGTGTAATAGGAGGGGCTAGAGCTTTAGGCCCAGCTGTTAACCCAGAATCACACAGGGTGGTTTCTCCCTGAGCAACCCAAAGTAGAGAAGGGATCCAAGGCTTTTGCTACTTTTCTCTTAAAGCATCCATCTTATTCCACAGATAAGAGCCCATTTAGTCCTTCAGATGTTTAACGCCTATGTGGCAGGCATTCTTCTGTGCTCCAGGACCACAGCCATGTCCCAATGTGGTCCCTGTTGTCCCAGAGATTACAGTTTAATGGGGAAGATGAAGGACAGATTTAAGGAAAAAAAGAGAAATTCTGCTTTGGATATGTTATTTTAGGTGCTTGATAGATCTAATGTGTGTCTGTTGTGCTGTTGGGCAATTCTAAACTCATCAGGACCTGGGTTAGTTACAGGGCTTTGGGGATCATCAGGGTATAGGCCATAGGTGAAATTATGACAATAGATGAAAATAAGATAGGGTAAATACAGTCCTGAGCTGAAGATGATTACCTGAGAAATATCAGTATTTAAGGAATGCTTGAAAATACTGATCTGGTTGGGTGTGGTAGCTCATGCCTGTAATCCCAGCACTTTGGGAAGCTGAGGCAGGCGGATCATGAGGTCAGGAGTTCAAGACCAGCCTGGCCAATATGGTGAAACCCTGTCTCTACTAAAAATACAAAAATCAGCCAGGCATGGTGGTGCACACCTTTAGTCTCAGCAACCCGGGAGGCTGACGCAGAAGAATCGCTTAAACCTGGGAGGCAGAGGTGGCAGTGGAGCTGAGGTCATGTCACTGCACTCCAGCCTGGGTGACAGAGCGAGACTCTGTCTCAAAAAAAAAAAAAAAAAAAAAAAATAGTGATCTAACATTTACATGGAGAAGGAGCAAAGAGAATGCTGTATATTAGAAGCCAAAAGAAAATATTTTTACCTTTATATTGGGCACTTATTGTCCAGATACTGTTTAACTTAATCTTCACAAAATCTCCATGAGGTAGGTATTACCTCTATTTTACATATGAAAAAAAGACAAATCAAAAAGAAAAAAAAAAGCTTGAGACTCAGAATATTAAAGATTGTGGAGCCTGGGGTCCGTCCACAAGCTTAGGCTTTTTGAAAAACTTGAAGGCCAGGTGTGATGGGTGACACCTGTAATCCCAGCACTTTGGGAGGCTGAGATGGGCAAATCACCTGAGATTGGGAGTTTGAGACCAGCCTAGCCAACATGGTGAAACCCCTGTCTGTACTGAAAATATAAAAATTAGCTGGGCGTGGTGGCGGGTGCTTGTAATCCCATCTACTCAGGAAGCTGATGCAGGAGAATTGATTGAACCTGGAATGTGGAGGTTGCAGTGAGCCGAGATCGTGCCATTGCACTCCAGCCTGGATGACAAGAGCAAAACTCCATTTCAAAAAAAAACTCAAATTATGGCCCCAAGAATGGGAGCATTTAAAGAGTTACCTAAGGGAACCAACCTAGTTTCCACAAAGATGACCACTTTGGGGTCAGCCCAATCATCAGTATTCCTGGGTCCTTAGCATCCCTTCTTACCCCTTGTGAGTGGGAATTACGAGATTACAGCCCCACCTGTGGAAATTGGGCACACTAGCACTGGCTATGCTGTACATAGGCAAACAAGAGGGCTTCATACTGTTATAACAATCTGTACCACAATTCTCTGTGCAGTCTGCCCAGCTCTAAATGACATGTCCTCAGAGGCACCATCATCTCCCAAGTCCATGGAAACCATGCACTTACAGAAACCAGAACCTCCCATGCCGCATGTTACTAATGACCTACAACATTGACGTGGTTTGTATCATGCAGTGCTCAGCATTCTGGTTGCAGCATCACATTTCTCAAGAATTTGATTCCATGCTGATTATTTGGAGTACTGAAATCTCCCAGGTACTGGGAGGTATGGCCTTCTCAAATAGAAGACTAGGAGCTGGTTCCCCTATGCTATGGCAATCTGCCACCCAGAAGCACTTGCTGCACCAACAGCAAGGCAAGCTTGCCTCTGCAGCCCTGCAGCACCCATCAGAAACACTTATCACAATGAATTACTGTGCTGGCAAATCCGTAACTGGACTGCCAGACAGCGAGCTCCATGAGGCATCTAGGGAAAAAGCTCCCCAAATCCAGAGAAACATTCTTTACTCCAGAATAGAGTCACATCCTTGAGTCATTTGGGATGACGGAGACATCCTGGAGCAGGTGTATTGGGAGGTCAGTGAACAAGAACGCTGATTTATTAGTGGGCCTGTTAGTGCAGTATTTTTCCGATTCCGCAGGCTTTAAATCATTGGTGGTCTTTGGCGTGCGGGTTCAGCAGGTGGTGGAGTTGGAGGATAGATGGCAGGGATTTGAAGAAAGGTGAAGGGCAGACAGGAGTGGAGACAATGTGAAGTTTTCCAAAGACTAATTACTGGGCACGGTGGCTCACGTCTGTAAACCCAACACTTTGGGACGCCAAGAGTTCGAGACCAGCCTGGGCAATGCAGCAAGACTACAAAACACAAAGATGAAAAATTAGCAAGCGAAGTGGTGCGCGCCTGCAATCCCAACTATTCGGGAGGCTGAGGTGGGATATTCCGGGAGGTCGAGGCCGTAGTGAGCCGTTATCACGCCACTGCACTCCAGCCTGAGCAACACAGCGAGAACCCGTCCTAATTAAAAAAAAATATGATGGGAATCTGCGGTTTGGAGAGATCTTATGTATTCTAAGACTAGAAAAACACTGCGGTTCGATTCAGCCCTCCCGGAAAATATCTAGGAGGCTCCAAGAGCAGACCAGGTGCCTGTTATTTCCCCATCCCT